GCAAGAAGTGACCGCTGGAGTTAAAAAAAAAAAACAATGAAGCAAATGCCAAATGGGAAAAAAACAAAACGGAAATTACTTGAGTAGTCACTTGAGGCTGGCTCCAAAAATCAGGAAATCCCCAGATTTTAAAATGCCCATTTTTACAGTTCAAATTAGCATGCTTACAGCCTTCCACAAACACAACAAAACCTTACAACATGCTATCCCTTTCTTTTGTGTCTGCGTGAAGATAAAAAATACATAAAGAAATGAAAAATATAGATTTTTCTTTTATCATAACCACATTTCTCTTTGAAAGGCTGGTAGAAGATTGTGACCACATTTTCTAGAAGTAGAAATAAAATAAAAAAGTATTTTCCACGTGAATAAAATGCTTATGGCTCCATTCTCCTTACATTTCAATCTTAGACAAAGAGGCTTTGTGTCGGGCCAGGTTGTGCCTGACTTTAATACAAAGGGAACCATTTTCAGAAAACGAATTCTCCCACCTTAAATGTCCCTCCCTGTCGATGTTGGGACATGTGTAAGACAGTGATGAGGTTACTGAGCTGAAATACTGCTCCTGGATGTGTGGATAACCAGATTTTAATCAGGTTGCTCCGGGCCAAATGTTCCCCTTTTACAGAATTAGACATGTGGAGTGTTGACAGTATGCTGCCCTCTAATTCTAAATCCCAATAACTGCTGTACATTTGTCACTTGGAAAGGAGATTTATGGCTCTTCATATATGTAATGCTGCATTTATTGTCAAGTAAGAAAGAACCATAGCATTTTTTACCTCTATTTGATGTTGTACCATTGTATATTTCATACATTTAATGCAATAAATCATGTTTTAATTGTAAGGGTTTTGGATCTAACTTCTTAATCAAAAATGACCAATGCTCTTAACTAGGTAATACACTTTTTAATACAATGTATGGTTTTCCTTCTGTTTTATAACATCAAGTAATTATTTCAAAGGATAAAGATTTTTTTAGATTTTAAATCACATAGCAGGACAGGTTTGACTAAATAAAAATGGGTCTATCTCTTTGGTCCTGACTGAAACACCTACCATGGATAGATGGTGCAGACATTTATTTTGCTTTATTAACAAATTAGACCGACTTGTTTCAGCTTGTGTCCTTTATCACGGTTGTCCATGTTGGATCATCATCATTTGGATGACCCCGATGAAGGGCACAAGCCGAAACGCGTCAGTCTAATTTGTTAATAAAGTTTATCTTCATAAGTGTTGCTGGAGCATTTTGATTTCTTCAAGCCTTTCACTTTTCATGCACCTTGCTAGGTGGTGAAGTTGTGCCAGAAAATCCCACTTTGCAGACATTTATTTTCCCTACAGGATGACTAATGCTGCCTTTGGTTATCCCCTGACATTTCCCAAAGCTCCTTTATGAGGCAAACATTTGTGGGCTTTTAGTGTCTTGACAACTAGCCTATTGCATGGACCACAACAGAATCATATTGTTTTGTAAAACTGGATGCAAATGACTTGAAATAACTTTTGAAACTCCCTCATTTTCAACCAGACGCATTTTCAACTCCAAAATTTGTCAAATTTGGTCCTACAAACACACATTACTGGCAAATATCTTGTAAAATTCAATCAGGTTCACATGCTTTAGCGTCAATCAGAAAATGGAAGCTTCTAAAATGGTGAATTTGGCAAAGGTAAACATCATGAATTCTTTTTGCAGCCAACAAAGCATCAAATATTTTGGCTTCTTCTGAGACATGTTCTGGCAAGTGAAATTTTCTGGTTTTATCAAAATTTGCCTTCTTGTAAAACCAAGTGTTATCCTAGATTGTTTATACACTCTGTAATTTGTCTTCTAAGTGTTCAATGGGTTTTAATGTTCCTCACAATGATCCTTTCATTGTGCTGTTAAGGTCATCTATTTAACAGGCATATTATGAGCATCAACTTTTACAATCTAAGTTTCATCTTTGGCTGTTTGTATGTGTTGAAATATTTCCTCTAATAGGATTAATAAAGATAAATCAAAGTCAGCATGTTAGCATGTTGATGTTAGCATTTAGCTAACATTTCAAACTTTAATAGAGCGGCTAAGAAGGCTAGCATAACTGCTGTACTTGTTTAAAATATGCAGTTGCGTAACAAAGGCAGCACCCACTGATTTGGCAATTTCATGTGGTTTAATCAACATTAAATTGCTCTTCAGTCCAATTAGCCAAAATGCTAGTTTGACATTTACTTCTCTGGGAGTCGACTCTGAAATTATAGTGATTACAAATGTAGAAAATTGCCACCGTTATAAACAAAGCTCACTTTATAAGGCGGTGTCTCAAAACATGTTTATTACCTGGGCCAGGCTAGGTTCATTTAGCATGATATCTTGTTGTCTGCACACCCTACAGAGGTTAAAAACCAAACCAAAACCAATATCAATACAATTAACGGCATTAGGATCTGGCTTTTTTTTCGGAACGAATGATAAAGCGTTTCTTAAATGGGGAAGATAATTGATCGGCCATGTTGTAGGTTATTTGCTCAGAAACATGAATTAAATCAGAAACCGAGAACGACACATGAAATCACTTTATATTTACTTAACTGGAGTAGAAAACCTAATAGCTATTTGTCTAGTTGTATTACGGTCTAATGAGAGATTCAGTTTCCCATGTGAGAATAATGAAAAACCCTTCAATAGATCGATTGAAATGAAATTGAGTTGATCTCACGGCTGAGGTCAGCAGACCCAAATGTGGCTTCGGCCAAACTTAACCCCTGCCCGGACCTCTGGGTGTCCTCTATCTGCTTTGACAGCAGCCGTTGTTTCTGGGGGAGGGACGGAGGAACTCGTGTCCCCCGACGGCTCACTCGAGGGTGACGGTTTGGAAAGTCCACTTTGACCTTTGACGTCAGGGGCTTCAGGAGCGGACAGTCGGTGCCTCCCCCTCTCCGCCATCCTCTCAGAGGCTTGTCTCTGGTTGTTTGACCCTTCAAACGACCTCTGGACACTGTCCATGTCAGTCATGTCCTGGCTGTTGGCAGTGGGCTTTAAAGAGCAAACACTAACACCGGCTTTAACAAAAGAGAGCCTAAGCAGAAGACTTTCTTTGTTTAATATTGTGATGTATCTGCTTTATGGTCAGTGATGACAACATTTTTGATTTTGAAGTTGTTTTCATATGTAGAACTTTTCTTGACGAGCTTCTCATAGTTACAAAACATTATGTACTACATTATGCTCTTAAACAATCCAGTGGATCCCAACCTCAGGACCAGGACCCAGGAAAGGGTCCCAAATTAATCTGAGGGGTCACAATGTGATTAAAAAAATGTTTATATTTTCTAACCGTTTGTTAACTTTTCTTTTTCCTATAAATAAAACCGGTCTCATAGTGACCACAGATTTGAACGCACTAATAAACTCTGAAAGGATCAGACAAATATATAAACATATAACTGTCAGGAAAAAAACTGCTGACTAATTAGAAGCTTGTCATGCATTGAAAATAACACATTAGTAATACTTTGTGATGAGACAAGGCTGCACTAAAAGGCTTATAGCACCCTCCGAAGCCTTAACACAGTACGGCAGGAACAGTATACTGAGGTTCACACAATGACAGCTGATGTTTGATTTTTTGAATCTCCCTTAAAGATAATGTTCATGTGATCACAAATACTCATGTTTGGGTTTAATTATATGTTGGTGCTGTACCATAAGTGTCAAACTGTTTGCTGGTTTCATCTTTTGTCACAGGATAAAGATTCAAAACCAGAAACTACCAAAATAATTCAAGTCATAAGCTATATGTAGGATTGGTTATTATCTCAGGAAAAGTAGCAGAAAACTAATGACATGGGGAAAAAAAGGAAAGGAGACCAAAAGAATGTGTTTTGAAGGAGTTGGGAGTGACAGATGACAATGTTTGACGTCTCAGCTGTTCAATTTTTCTTGCCAAACACAAACACACCAACGTACAGAAACCCTAAGCAGACCCTAAGCATCCATACACTTTATTAACTCCAATTTCCCAGGGCGCCAGAAGGCCTAGTGGTTATGTTACGTGCTGTATGTGCATGGTCCTCAGCACAGCGGCCGTGGTTTCGAATCCCCCCCCTCCCTCTCCTCCCAACATTTCCTGTCTCTCCTCAGCTGTCCTATCTGATGAAGACAAAGAGGCCCAAAAAATAACTTCAGCCTATCAAGTTAATGAGTAAGCAAAGATAACAAGTCACTCAATTGAAATAACTCTCTTGAATACTTTTTTGTTGCTGATCAACCATATATGCATTGAAATATCACATGTATTCTTTAAATCTTTACCATAAATACTTTTTTTTTTTTTCAATCTGTCTGCTGTTGTATGCAAGCAGGTCTACATCAGTGTGCAGAAAGCTTCATAGAAGACGATGTGCAAAGACAATGCATCCAAGCAACAAATATCACAATCATGAGGACTTTGAAATAAACACAGAGGCACTGCTCGTCAACAGGCAACACAGGAGACTGCTTTGGGCCCCTGGCATGGGAGCCCCTTAACAGTTTTTAAAAAGCACACACACACACACACACTAGAGTGAACTCAAGCCATGCTCGCCATCTGGAGGAGACTCTGGGAAATACACAGGAGTCACTGCACTCCAGACAAATGGAAACAAGAATTAAACTTCAAATGGCTGATGTAATCACAAGGAAAATATAATCTAAAGAAGAAATGACAAAAGTATGTATTGTATATTGAAGTACTTTTCTTAAAAACTAAAATGTCAGTGATTGTATATCTCTGATTAGAAAAGGGCTGCTGCAGTTAGGACTGATCCATTTTCATGTTTAAGCAGTTCGATCACTGATGTCGTCTTTTCTCGGTGTGTTGCCAAAGTTGGAAAACCAAACAAAACGCAACAACTTTTTTTTTACAAAATGATTAAAATTGTTTATTTGTTTACAGGCTGAAGGAAGGAAACAAAATATGAAAACTATTTACATACAAGGTGAGAAAAACAAAAATTTGTACACTACATCTTTTTTTTTTTTTTCAAAATAAAAGCCCATTAATATATTGATTTTTTTTCCTGAACATTTTTATTTTACATCCTAGTCTCAGCAGAGCAGATTTTCATGAATCTTTTTGACAATCTTTGTCAAGAGTTTCCTGGTTGGACTGAACGATGCCACAATCTCTTCAATCTGTTCAATCCTGCAAGTTAAAGAAAACATTTAATTTGATTATTTTGAAGGAGTCTCTGAAAAGTAATGACTGAGAATATCAACGAGCTACCTTTACGAAACATTTTCTCATTCATTTTAAAGTTTTATATCACAACACCGACAGCCCCAAAAAACAGAGTGCCATCTGAAGAGGAACTTACGTCGTGCTTCCGATCAGGTTTTTAAAGCTCTGCACTCCAAGGACACAGAGTTGGTTGCTCAGGCTGACGGAGAAGATCACCTCAAACTTGGAAAACTTCTTGAGACTGCTGAAGACAATGTGCACTCTAGAAGATGGAGGAAAGAAATGTTTATTATATAATGTAGCTCAGTTATTTAAAAGAAAAAGATGTTCTGGTTAGGGTATATAAGCCTCTTGTGATGCGTTTAAAGTCAATTAATTCAATACCAGTGAGTAAAGCTTTGAGGGCCTTATGACCTCCTAATAACCTTTGAAGGAGTTTATGTTGTTTGCCTTTAATGCATCATTTCAGGTCACTTGTTTGGCTTCATACAGGAAACATTAGGGAGCCTGTTGTGTCATGGAGGGAAGGGTATGTTGGTGCTTTAAATGAAGATGTACATTCAGATCTTATTGCAGTTTCACGTCCTTTATAATCAAACTGATATGTATGCTTTAGAAAAGCTAAATACATTTAAAAACTCAAAACCGATCTGTTTGTTCTTAAAGCAAAGAGCTGTTGAGGGAGAGACCAATGCTTTGCGTCATCAGTCAATCAGAATCAAATATTTCACAAAGCGGTGTCATTAAAAAATTGTAAAATGTTGGGCTACAATCAACTCTGACAAGCTGTGTTCAGGAGTACTTACTGAGTGTCCACACAGCTGATGTCAAGAATATCAAGCCTCAGACCCCCCCACATTTTGAGCAGACGCAGCTCCTCCCCCAGCAGGCGACAGTGACTCACAACGTGACTCACATCGTGGAGCAGCTACACACAAGTGGAAACACAAAACATTGGTTAAAAGGTTCGGTGTAACCGGAAAAGGTTATCTCAAACTATGAACAGAGTGTACGGTAATTTAATTACAAAATATTCTAAGATAGTGAAAGAACTGCTGGTGTCTCTCTCCACACCAACCTTTGGAACGTGTTTGCTCGTCGGATACTTCTCCACCCAGGAAGCTTCTCCTTCGATGTACCCAGAGAGCAGTTTGTGGACGAGGCGAGCGTGGTCATGGGACTTCTCATCTAGTTGGAGAAAAATGTTAAGAGGTTGTTTTTAAAAGATACGAGTATAGAGAATGTCCCTCATGCTCAAAGAGAATAAATGGCCCGTATTAAGTAGAACTCACAGCTACAGAGGAAGCACCATAGATTATAGTAACTCATTTCACGTCATGTAATATAATGGGGCGGCTGTGGCTCATTGTTTGAATCAGTTCTCTCAACTGGAAGGTCAGGGGTTCGATTCCGAGCTCCTGTAGCCACATGTGCGATGTGTCCTTGGGGAAGACACTTAACCCCAAGTTGCTCCCGCTGCTTCGGTGCGGCGTATGAATGGGATTAGTTATTTCTGACAGTAACCTCTGCCATCAGCGTGTGAATATAATGAAGTAGATTAGAAACAACTTTGAACCCGAAGAAACAATGTGAAAAATAAATATTCCAATCGACCAAAGTGAAACACCATCATTCCATCATCTCCACTTGCTGTGTCCTCTTACCATCGAGGTGAAGGTTGAACACGATGTGGGATATCTTCCTCTCCGATTGATTTTGAGCTTCATCTTCTTCAAAAACGATAGAAAAGGAAATTCATTATTAAATGAAAGACATCGCTTCTTCACAAAAAAAAGGAGCTCAAGTTGTGCTCTTATATAAATAGATAAGATAAGTGGGCAAATACACTTTTACCCACTGACTGATGGGCACACAGACAAAAATCTCTGCAAAGATCGGGTGTCGTTTGGTCTTAAATGCAAAACAGATTCTAACATTACTGAAGCCAGAAGTGCTACAAGTCTCAAATATGAGCTGTGTCAAGCAGCAAGTCAAAGTGGATAGACAGCTCCATTTAAGACAAAGAGAATACAGTAGAAGGTAGAGGGGCTGTCAACAATGTAAAGCATTATTTCTGAAAAAAGAACCAACACCCTGCTGACAGTCTTACCGTTGGATTTGTCATACAGCAGCTCGAGATGGAAGGTGTCATGAAGAAACGTGAAGACTGTATAATCGTCTCTCCTCTCTCCAAACTTCCATTCATTCAACCTGAACAAAGGGTGTAAACTTTAATACATTTGTAGGCAACCGCCATTAACTGTCAAGACCAATTAAAAAGCAAACAAATGGACAAAACTGTAGTGAATCAAATAACACCTACAAACAGTACATGAGCGAGTCAGAGTGCAGGTGTTTTGTTAATGACTTCCTACTGGCAGTGAAAGTAACAGTACAGAAGAAGTGAAAACACATTGAAATGATATACTGACGTCTTCAGAGCGTCCACGTGGCTCTCAAGGTTCCTCGTCTCAGCGATCAGCCTGTTCAGTTTACTTGAGTTCTGCGTGTTCTGCATCTCCAGCTCTGATATTAGTCTGTGGCACAAAGAGAGAAGGAGGATGAGACACTGGAAAGAAGTCCAAGAGGATGAAATGTTTTAATCACTCAAGCCATCATCGAATTACAATCCTGATCGGTGATACACAATGACTGTTTAAAAGAAAGCAGGATGAATTTAAAAACAAACTTACAGAAAACACTAATTGCACACGTCTGAGACATTGTTTTAAACGGCCTACTACTGTACATACTACTACTAAACATAGTAAGTCGTATGTACTGCATATTATGTTTGACTGTAGTATGACTGCCAGTCGGTGGTTACACAAACCAAAGGTTCCTCACAGGAGCTGAAATGAATCCAGTATTTATTTATTTGAATGTTTTTTGTAGCTGGTTCGATGTGCCTATTTGTTCTATGTTTAATTTTTTGCCTAGCTCCAAAAACACATTCCCCCCATGGAGAGAATAAAAGCTGAAGTTGAAGAAAACACTGTAAGTGCATAAACCTGAATATGATTATTATGTCTGTTCTGTTTATTTATATTTAAGACTCACCTGTCTTTATCTGCCATCGTGTCAGTGACAACCTGCAGCTCTGTAAAAAAAGAAAAAGTAAATAAATACAAATGAATAAATCATTCAATTTAAAATGAATAATACATTCATTCAATATAACAACTAACCTTCCTGGATTGACCTCAAACTTGGTGTGTCTTCCGTTCCCTTTTCTTCGACTGCAGACATTTCTGAAGAAGGGAAACAGAAGATTTTACAGCAATGACTTGAATAACACATCCACACTGACCCTATTTGTGTTGGCATTGCCCTCAGTCTATTTTATCAGAGAGCCCTGCATAATAATCAGCCCATAGCAGACTTACCTGTTTCTAACTCATGAATGCAGTCATCCAGACTTTGTATCATCTCGTCTGCTTTCTCGATCCGTCCTCTCAGCTTCTGCTGCTCCTCCTGAAAACAAGAACCCTGTTATTGGCCTTCCATGATCTTAGGTTGTAAATTAGAGTATCACTGTGAAAGCTCTTACCAGATTTGCCTGCACAAGTTGCGAGTACAAGACCTCCTTCATCTCATGTGACTTGGCTTTGCTCGTCTTTCTGAACAGGTTGTTTCTCTCTTTCAGTTTGGCACCAAAAGATTTGAGCTTTGAATTAAAAAAGGACGCACACCAAGTGTAAGAATTCATTCATTTTACAACTACAATAATGGACATCAATTAAAACTAAATAACAGATAAATTCATACTTTTAATAAACAGATCATTCTAATTAAAAAGATTAGTTAGAGTTCAGTCAGAAAAAGAGATATCTGCATTAAAGAAGAGCAGTTTGAAATTAAAAGGTATCCAGTCATACCTCCTTCTCTGAAACGTTTCTCATTGCTTCCCATAAAGCTTCATTAACGATCCGCAGTGGTTTGTCCAGGTCCCGCATTCGCCCCTTCAACCTGGAGACAAAAGTTGTTTCATCAGAATTATTTAAAGACACTTATTTAGAGCTTCTCATAAAAATATTTATCTCTGACATCTCCAATGTATTCTGTAATTCAGTGGTTCTCAACTCGTCCAGGCTCAGGAGGACCCACCATCAATTACTCACTGAAAAATTGCCACCCACAATTCTGATAACTTTAATCCAATCAGATTTATTTCATGAAAAATTGTGCAGTTTGCGGCTTCTGCCAGATGTTTTGTACCTCTGACGGAAACTGAAAAAATCTAACGTGTTTAAAAAAGCACTTCACAGACTCTTTGACACCAGTTTTTTTCCAGGCACATGCTCTGATAACACTTCGACGACCCACTTTTGGGTCCCGAACCCACCAGTTGAGAAGCCCTGCTCTAATTCATGACCAACTTTCAAACAATTGCGAGCTTTTACAAAACTCCTCTTGAGTGTTTTTTTTTTTAAGATGTTCTAAGATGTTTCCTTAAACCAAGTTTAAATGATACTCTAAATATGGAAGGTTAAATGTGACAGAATACTGCAGGTATACAATCTTCTAATAAACGAATGTGTTATCAGCATTAACTGTACTTACTCTTCCACTTTTCCTGTTAGTTCAAGGACGTTGGTCTCGTACACACTCTGTTTAGGACGGTTGATATGCCTGTCTTTGAGTAAATCAATCGGTGTGCGATCTGTGTCTGTCAAAAGCTGAAAAACAAAAGAAAAAGCCTCATCACTTCTTCTGCCGTTAACTCCAGAGATTTTGATCTCAAATATGTTGATGAGGGTTGACCTACTCTGCCAGGGAGGACACTTTGCCGAGGATTATGGATGACAAAGTCGATGTTGAAGAGTTTGAAGAACTCTAACACAGTTATGGAGCCATCATCGAACTTCTGTAAACAGAGCATTAAAATCAATAAACAACAAGCTTCAAAATATTAGGATGTTATATCAAATGTATGTACTTAAATTTAAAAGTATAGAATAGAATAGAATTACTTATTGATCCCAAACTGGGAAATTATGGATTCCCAGTTTGGGATCAATAAAGTAATTCTATTCTATTCTATTCTTTTACATTTAAGTACATACATTTGATATAACATGTACTTAAATTTAAAAGTGCCACTGAAATACTAAAAGAAGATACCCTCTGTACATCGTTGGCGTAGTCTTCAAGCTGTGATTCAAACATGCTGTGTTTGAAAGCTGAAAAGAAATACAAAAAACAGTTGATGTCCAGAATAAAGAGAAATCAGACTCTTTAAAAGCATCACCACTTCATGACTCATATCAATAATGCTACACACTGTGTGTGTTTTTAATAATAATTATAACTATTTCCACAAGTGGAAGTGTACATGTTCTATTATTCTATTATTGTATTTTTTCTCCCTTTATTTAACTGATGTACATATGTTTGATTTTGAACTTCTTGTTATTTTGATAATTATATTCCTGTTTCTTGAGCTGTTATCTATAAATAACAACAAGAAAACAGGGATCTTTACGACAGTATGTTATGGAAAACCTCTTACTTGATTCAAAAGTAGCTTCACATCTGCTGGCTGTGTGACTGCTGTTGGAGAAATCCGTGTGCTGTGTTGTCATGCTTGGAGCTGTAGTCATGTTACCGTCACTCTCTGCAGCTACGTCTACATGAGACTGATATACCTGGCAACAAAGAAAAAAAAGGGTCAAAACAGAAAATTGAATAAAGAAACACTGAAAGAACCAAAACAAAATACTGGTATCTCATTTTATAATCAGATCAAATAATGGTGATTGTTAGGCTCAGTGGTCGAGTAGTCGTCCAACGTGATTCTTAAATAATGATGGGTATTTAACATAAGCATCCTCTGCCATCACTGTTTGAATGTGACATGTTGAGTAAAAGCACTATGATGATTTTGAAGACTAGAAAAGAGTTATATAAGTACAGTCCATTTACTATTTTACCAGTCACATACGGTATCAAATTATGAAAGAAAGGCAGTATTCAGCATCATGTATTTCCATAGTCACCAAACTGCTGCAATGAGTTTCTCTTTTTCAGTATAAATACAGTTTTTCCATCAGGCGGATATTGGGCAGCCCTACTTTTCAACAGAACTAGCAGCAGAGTAGTAATTCTGAAAAGACTGAGGTTTTGTACTAACGGATTTCAGTGTTGTAAAAATGTATGTTATTATGGAAAAATGATAATGCCAGGTAATCATGGAGGCAGTGTTAAAATGTCAGGATCAGTAATGCTGATAGTTTTCTACTAGTTAATAAATGTTAAGATAAAGGCCGACAGTATTTTCACCTACCTCTTCAACATCAGCGAGCGTCTCAGTGGATGCTTTCATCCTCTTCTCATACTCCTCCGCATTATTCTCATCTACTGGCAAAGGTCGCTTGTTTCCACAGACGGGACTGATGGAGTCTTGTTCGAACACATCATCCTCTAAAGGTTCCTCCATGTTTGACTTCTGAGAGAAACTGCCTTTTTCGGTGACTTTCTGAGGAGTCCTTGTGTCGATCATTTCTGACATGTCTTCGCAGCTACCAAGTTCCTCATCGTTGATGTCACTCACATCAGCGTCGAAGTTGCTCAGTTGATTAGTGACATTTACGGTCATTGTCCTCGTATGCTCTTCAACAGAATTGACCTTCTTTGATTCATCAGGTTTGGTTCTTTGGGGGAGTTTCGCCTTAAAGCCTCCGACTGAGAGTCTTGACATGAGTTGTTTAGTCTTCAGGTTGAATGGAGTTGCAGCAGGAGAAGAGGGCTGTTCTTGCAGAAGACGCTGAGCTTGTGTATTTTCATCTGCATTTATCAGATCACATTCCAGTTCAGACTCCATAACCTCAAGGGATTTTGTTTTGTCTTTTGGGCTTTGTTCCAAGCTGTGCTCTGGCAAAGGCAAAGGGGCAGTAGAGCTTTCCATGGTAACAGCATCAGGATTTGTATTTATCAAATGGCTCAAACGTCTTAGTTTTGATTGAAGATCAGCTATGCTCCTCCTTCTAGACTTTCGTGAAGGCGCGGCATCAACATCATGGTCAATAGCAGCAGGCGAACTTTCAATCTTCTCTGACAAAGAGCAAGTTTGATTTCTTGGTTCATCTTCTTTCCATGTGTCACTTTCATTGGAATCAAGAGGAGTTGGACGGTTTGTGATGTTCACACTATCAGCGTTGGATGATCCTGGTGCGTCATTGGTCTGCAAAGTCATTTCTGTTTTCCTGAAATGGTCAGAGTCAGGGTTAAAGTCCTGAGTGGATGAAAAGCCTGGAGGTGATTCATCTGTACATGTTTGTCTTAGAATGTTGCCTGTTTGAGCCTCAGTCATATCCATGTTTCCATCTTCTTCTCTCATGGTTTCATTTACTTGCTTCTCAATAGTAACTGAATCAAAAGCCACTATTTCTGTATCCACATCATTTTTCTGGGTTTTGCATTGGTGTGGGAAACCATCTGGGGTCTCAGTTTCTTGAGAGGCCACCTTGGTTATGTCAGTATAAGCTGAGGAGCCCCTGGTTTTGGACAGGGACTTTTTAAATCCTTGATCCAAAGTGTGTGTTGTTAGAGAACTCTTTCTGCGCTGCTGACATGGTTCAATTTCATTACTCTTAAAGTCCTTGTTTTCCTGAGTGGAAACAATGTTGGATTCTTTGTTTAAAAGAACTGGATGTGGAAGTGAAATGCTTGCAATATTTCCGGTAATGCACTGGGTTACATCCATGGCTGCATCGTCTGCGGCAAACGTCAGTGTTTTCTCTCCAAAATTTGGCAAAACATCCACATATTGGTGGGACTGTGCTTCAAAACTGGTGGCAATATTTGCTGTGTGGCATTGTGTGACATCCATGGTTGCATCAGTTTCAAACCGCAATGTATTCTCTCCAGAAGTCGGTAAGAAGCCCACTTTTTGTTGTAGTTGTGGTTCCACATTGGTGGAAATATTTACAGTGAGGCACTTGGTTACATCCATGGCTGCATCATACGCAGAGAACCTCAATGTCTTCTCATCAGAAGGTAAGATGTCCACTTTTTGTTGGAGTTCTGGTTCTGAATTGGTGGCAAAATTGACTGTGTGGCTTCTTCTTACATTCATTGCTGCTTCATTACCAGGCAACCTCAGTGTCATCTTTCCAGAAGAACGTAAGAGGTCAACTTTTTGTTGAAGGTACGGTTCCAGATTGGCAGCGATATTTACAGTGTGACTTCTCGTCACATCCATAGCTGCATCGTCTGCAGTAAACCTCAACGTCTTCTCCCCACAAGTAGGTAAGAAGTCTGCTTTTTGTTGTTGTTCTGGTTGCAAATTAGCTGCAATATTTACAGTGTGGCTTCTTGTTTCATCCATGGCCGCATCATTTGCAGTAAACCTCAATGTCTTCTCTCCACAATTAGGTAAGGAGTCCACTCTTTTGTGCGGTTCCAAACTAGCTGCAATATTTACAGTGTGGCTTCTTGTTTCATCCATGGCCGCATCATTTGCAGTAAACCTCAATGTCTTCTCTCCACAATTAGGTAAGGAGTCCACTCTTTCGTGCAGTTCCAAACTAGCTGCAATATTTACAGTGTGGCTTCTTGTCTCATCCATGGCTGCTTCATTAGCAGTGAACCTTACTGTTTTCTCTCCACAGGCAGGTGAATAGTCCACATGTTGGTGTGGTTGCTGGATAACATCATTGGCAATGTTCACTGTGTGACTTCTTGTCACATCCATAGCTGCATCATCAGCAGTAAACCTCACTGTTTTCTCCCCGCCGTCATCTTCAAAATCCACTCTGACCTGTGGAAGGGAAAATCCAGAAAGTTAAATTAGCATTACTATGATTATTATTATAACATTTAAAAACTTTAGAGGCACCTTAGAAAGAGCGTATGTTAGAAATTTGTAAGACAGAAATACAATCGGTACAAGCTTGTTAAATGCTTTTTTCAGTTGAATGGATACGTTACATGGCAGTACAGAGTAAGTACAGCTCTAAAAGTTTAATAATTGTAGTTTATAGTGCTAGAAGAAAAAATGTGAATCTTCAAATAATAATAATTATGATCATTTTTATGCTTACCTGATTTCTTTGACCCTTTGTCTTTAAAGATGGCTCCAATGAAGTACCCATACCTAATGTGTAGAGAGGGAATAAAATATGAAAGTCATTAGCAAAAGCATACAGATCCAAATTTCTCCCATTTAAAACTTAATTTATTGAAATAAACCTGAGGTCTGCATTGTTGTTTAACATGTTCGTTCATACATCACTTTTTACAATATAGTTTTTATTCAAGCCTTATTATGGGAGATTTTAGATATGGACCTTTTTTTTTATACATGGGAAACAAACTTGTAACAAGAGTTCGTGTTTGCCATACCTGCATGATTAAACGATCCTTGTACTTTACTGTTCTTCCGTCCTGAGGTCATCTTTGCACTATGCAGACTGTCACTGTTCGTCTGCATGTCTTTAGTGGGTAAAAGAAATTGAAAAGGGTCATCTGAGTCCACCGGTCCCATGATGGGGCTGGTCTGAACTTCCATTCCACGGATTGCATCTCCTCTAAATGTTTCTCCAAAGCTCTTGGAGGCTGCTGCCGTAGGAGGAACCATCCTGGCGTTCACAGGGTTGGCACTGGCGCCGCTTGGTTTGGAGAGACTTGCTAGGAAGCTTTTAAGTCCTACGTCCACACCATTGGTTGACGAGCCGTCAGTTTTTCTCTCCTTCAGTGATAAAGAATGGTCTACTTTTCTACCAGTCTGAAGCACGACCACATTTTTATTCTGCGGGGGAAATGAACCACTGGCGATGTTTACAGTCTGACTCTGAGTCATGTCCATAAAGTCATCACCTGCAGTGAACACAATGGTTTTCTCTCTGTGTTCATCTTTTGAGTCAAGGTTGACCTGAGGAAGAAAAAACAGTGAGTTATGACACAGTCACTAAAAATATAACTGTGTGCAATCTTTAGCTAGCATTTTAAGGCAACGTATGGAAATAGTGACGCTAACAGCAACTCATTCTTGAACTATTTTCCGAGCACATTATGTGACATACATCTCGTTCTCATCATGCCGTTATTAGTTCACTTGTCAACTTAGTATAATGGGGTGTCAGAGTTAGGAAAAGATGAAAATAGCAAAGTAAAACCAATTATAAAACTCACCCGTTGCCCTGGAAGAGAAGCACGTAGAGAAGAATTCCTCAGGGACGTCATATCTTAATTTGAAAAATAAATGCAATCAAATTTACTTAAAACTGTAATCAATCATAAGACCATCTTCATAAAAACACAAAGTCAAACATCTAGTCTAAAAATCTAATTGTTTGCTATCAGAATTTTCACTACCTGTAGAGTTGGATGATGGCAGTGTTTTCCTGCTCTGCTGTTGTTTACTCTTCACTGTCGTCTGTGACGCTCTGTTGTCAAGGTGGGAGTACATTTCTTGTGAGGGAAAAAGGCACTGGAATGGATCATCATCATCATCAGTGAAAGCCTGAATACGGCCTGTCTGAGCTCCCGTCATATCCATGCTCACGTCATCCTCTGGATAGAGTACACTGGGCATATTTAACGTCTTCTCCATAACCGCTGAAACAGAAGAAGGAACTTGGTTTTCTTTATCCACATCAGATTGCTGTGTGTTGATCCGGGAAAGGGAGATGTTCGACTGTCCAGAAGATGCTCCAGCTGGAGGCGCTGTTCTGGTAATTGCAGGGTTTACGATGGGGCGACTTGGCTTGGAGAGATTTGCAAGGAAGTTTTCAAATTCAGGATCCACAGAAGGCACAGCTGATGATGTGTTTTTCTTCTCTGCTCTTGTATCCATGTTTCTGCTGGTGGGCAGAGTTGCTGAGCCACTTGGCATGTTAACTGGATGATTTACGGTCATATCCATGGATCCACCGTTCACAGATATCACCGTCTTCTCTCCTCCGGTTGGTAAAATATGGTAGTTTTGCAGGGAGATATCTGCAAGTAAGTCCTCATCCCTGGCTATGTTTATAGTGTGACTGTGGGTCATGTCCATGAGTGCATCATCCGTAGAAAACAACACCGTTTTCTCCCCAAATCCAAGCCCAGCATCAAAGTTGACCTAGTGACGATAAGTAGCTTCATGTTAGTGAATGATCTTATATCTACGTATTTCTTCAACAGATTACGTAGAAGCATAATTATGAGACCATAATTAATACAATTACATCAAATGCATCTAATTATTGGTTACTGTGACAGTAGTTAGGATAGAAAACATTCATTCATAAAGCTCACCGTATCCCTTTGTCGAGTATGTAGAGGAGCATTCAACAGGGTGTCCATTCCTAGATGTGAAGACTTTCATTAAATCTCTTATCGTTTGACAGACAATAAAAGCACTTTTCAAAAGGAGGCTGAATTTAGAAAAGATTCTACCCATACCTGTGATTTGTTGAATCCCATCTTCTGTGACAACATACTGGACCCTTTGAAAGAAAAACAACACTTATTTTAAGACAAAAAAATCTCCTGGTGTGGTAAGTAGAGAGTATTGGTGGTGGTCTGAGAGGAATGCTGCATTCATGTGCTGCTCGGCCCTTCCAAGTTTCCGAGTTGGGAAGTCGTGCTTACGACTTCGGTGTGTTCACGTGATTTCAGTTCGGAAAAGTTGTCGTGAAATGTTGTAACAAGAGCAAAAAACAGCATTGATGATGCTACAAAAAGGATCTGTGGAATGTCTCTGTTACAAGTTATATTTGAGCAAAAAGTTGATGTGCATTGTGTGAATTAATAAAAAAAAGTATGTGAACATTAACAAAACATGTTTTTTCCCCCATGTGATGAGAATTCTGACATCAAGTAGGGATGTCGGGCACCTAATTCTTTTCAGAGTTGTTGTTTTGACTTGAGCAGGTGCACATGTGCATTTTACAACTCGGAAACTCGTTTTTCCGATGTGTCCGACACCACATGAATGCATCATCACATCTGAAATGCAGGTAAATGGGCAGAGATGGAAGGTCACCTTACCTATTTTGTGTGTCTGCCGCTGCTGTTGGAATAACACATAACAAATTAAACTAAGTGACTTCAAATGTATGTAAAAAAAAAAAGCATGTAACTATACATCATTACATACGAACCTGTTGTCATTAAGTCTTGTAAAGGACTTCGAGCAGGAGAGACATTTTTTACATCCCTGTAAAAAAGAAAAATAGTTAAGTTAGGTTGAAGTGTCAGCATCATTGTGGAAAAAGAAGCCGGGCCTTGATTGTAGTTTCTCACTTTGAAAACAGAAGAACATCGTTCGCAGGGGCAAAACTGACTCTTCTTGAATTTCTCTTTTCCACAGGTTTGGCACACTCCACCTTGGTCAAATAAAAAATAATAAAGTAAGTCAAATAAAAAAACAAATGATAAAACTGATACTGATATTCCTGCTATGGTGAGATTGTATATTTCATTTATGTATATTTTTTTGGCTTTAGTGTCAATTAATCAAATCAGAATACGTCTGAGGAGATATTAAAGCGGGCCATCTTTTTACCACATTTTTCTGTTGCTCTGGGTCAGGTAACCTAATCGATTTACGAGGCGCCTTTAAAATCTGAAAAATGAAAAAACAACAGACAATACGAGTCAGTCAATAATTTACTCACAAAAAAAAAAAAAAGGAAAAGCATAACATAAACTTCTTTCATGAAACGTATTGTAGTAGGCTGCTGACCGAGGAAATGCGCCGCTTGGAGAATCCACTGCTTCCCCTGCAACCAAATAGACACAACAGTGTGGAGATGGTTATTATTTGTGAATAAAACTGCTGTCAGCTGTTAATCAGAATCAAAAACAATACTTTATTAATCCCAGAGGGAAATTCGGTCGTTACAGTTGCTCCAAAAATATACAATATAGCAGTAGAAATATAGTAATACAAATATTAATCAAATAGAATAGGAATAAAAGTAAAGTTTCACCTTACAAATAACAGTAAGGTGGAATATATACACACATGTTCAAGATTATTGCACTGTGTTATTATGAACATATTATTATTATTATTATATTGCAGTTTTAATGAAGCTGGCCTTTATGTAATGTGTAGACTTGTGTATAGATAGCACAATTACTGCTTTTATTAAAATAATAGTTTTCACTCACTCAGGATCTGAAGGCTCCATTTTGTACTACAAGAAAATGACAACAAACAGAGCTTGAAACACACACATTGATTAGACATTACCTTTTTAATGACGTGATACATTTACCTGAGCTTTTATTACTTAAATAAATTGGATTATCCCCGTTAGGAAAAACATTAAACAACTAAACATGTGATCTTTTACAACAACGCTCCTCTGGTGGTGATTAATGAATGAACTGATGAAAAGAAAAGTCAAAGAAATGGTGCAGCGCATACCTTAGTAGTTGTGACGATTATTCCCCACGGTTAAAACAGGTATGTGTAGTTAACACCTGTAGACTGAATCAGTTTTCATATCGCTTTTTTTTTTTGTCTCGGTCGTTGTGCAAAACTGCAAAACAGCAGCTAACGTCAACGAGCCCTGACGCTAACGTCTTCAGTTTTGAATTTAGCCGCCTAAACGCATGCGCAGTGGAGTCTAGCCATCGGGTAGTGTCTTCACTCGATTTATCCGCTTATTTTTTAAAATTTTTTTAATAAACTAAAAAAAAAAGAAGCTTGTTAACAATATTTTTACACCGCCTTTGGGTGTGATAAATCGCGAAATACAAACATTTTGACTGAGATAATTGTCAGAATGCTGTTTTTAATTCTCACAGGAAATAACGTAAACAAACCGGAAATGACGACAGAGGACGAGACGTTTTTGAATTTGTGTGGTTTTGTATTTTGATTGTTGACTGGTCTGATATCCATCGCATCTAAAAGGTAGGATGAAAAGGCATGGTTTTTTTTTTTGTTTGTTTTTTTTAAATCTGTAGCACACTTTGTTATGTTTCGGGAGTGTTGAATGCTTGACCTAATGACCTAACGACACGATTGTTATGCCACTGTTCTGTCCTCCTGAGAAATTACACAAACAGATACTCAATGATTTGGTTTTATGTAAGCAAAATGCTTGTGGTAGAATTTCAAGTATTTAATCTCTGGAAGAAACTCTTTACTTGAAAGGTGTCGTTTTGGGTAAATTATAGCTTATACACTGTTGCCATGAAATGTTCATACAGTTAATGTGCTAATCACATCTTTACAAATCCATCCAGGTGCTTCTCTTGTACAGGCATCCCATTTATTGCAGACGTAACCATGGCTTCCAAAATACCAAGAGGTGAGCAGTTGTTTTGGGATTTGGTTGGTTACTTCAAAAATGTAGGCTGTATCTTAACTGTATTATGACAACAACAAAAAACAGATGTCTTATTTACTATATCTATATATCTGCACCTTTAAGAAAAAGCTAAAGACCCAGCTCTTTCATGAATACCTACTAACTTAATGATGATGGTCTTTATATCATTGATGATGATGATGGTAATGACGATGGTTTTTGTTTGATAACGATGACTTATAAGATGGTTTCTATACTGATTAGAGCTCTCAAGAACTGCCCTCAATGTTGTGCTTTGCCTCTGGTCACTTCCTGTCAGCACCTGTGTGTCCAATCAGACTCAAAGCTGATCGTTTGCTCTTACTGACATTGTTCCCTTTTTTCTAGATCCTTGCTTGTGTTGTACTTACTCTCTGATATTGTCTAATATCTAATGAATGATGATTGTCCTGATGACGGTATTTATTCGCTTTTTGACTTCTGTCCCCTGTTCTTGAAAAGCAGCAGATTCCTTTTTCCTTTTTTGATCCGCTTCAGCTTTTTTTTTCTTCTGTTATCTCTATTGTTTTTTTTTAAGGCGCACAGGTACAAGCTGAAATGAAGAAGACCGGTCATAAGGTTGATACCGCAACAACAAATGCCAACCATAAAGCAGATGGTGTCCTTAAGGCTCAGAAAGAAAACCTGCCAAGGTAAAAATAATAATAATAATAGTTATAATCAACAGGCGGAAAAAAAATGACTGCGCTTATTACATATAAGAAGAATAAGGTCAACTGTGGGAGATACTCCTTACAAAAACAAGATAGGCATTTTTAACATCCTACAACGCACTCCCTGACATGGATTGAATGAATTGAAGGGAAGTTTCAGTCAGGAGGCTATACAAATCATTGACAAATCCTTTAAGTCTTTACCCTTTCTTACAACCCCTTCATGTTTATCTATATTATATACCAAGCTCTATTTATTTGCTCCACAGACACTAAGTTCAGTTCTCTTCACTCTTGTCTTACAGGAAAAATGTTGCTCCCAAAATTCACAAAGGGTAGGTCAAATGTCATTCTGCATACCCAAGACACTGGGATTCTGCCTTTTTTTATCCCCTTAACTTCATGATGTACCTCTCCATAGGATTTCCACCAGGTATGGGCAACAGGCAGAGCTCAAGGAGCAAAATCAGCAGTTGATCGCGACCAATGAGGAGCTGCAGAAAAACCTTGTGGAGACACAGGTACAGAAGTGTAGCAGCCTTACATTATTAAGGCTCCTGGTAGACTACATGTGGGTTTCTTTTCTTATGCCATTAGAATTGTCTTTGTTTTATTGCAGCAAAGAGTAGCTGAGTTAGAGCTGCAGTTCTACAACCTTGAAAAGGAAAATTCAGAGGTGCAGAGAAACCTGAAGGACTGTCATGTGCTCCTTGTTGCTGCTGAAATAGATCCAGGTAACTATGCATCTTAACTTTTCAAAATGGTCTTAGTCAACCTCTTCTTTGTCGCTTGGTGAAAACAACAAACTCTTTGCGTTTTAGTTTTAGGAGAACGGGTCGGAGAAGCTGCACAACAAAAGGAAGATCAAAGAAAAGAAGTTATGGTATGTATTTTATTTGAGTTTGAAACATGTTTATATGCACATTTTTGTTTTTATCTGCTATGCGTGTGATCAGAACAAGCGCATATTGATCTTACAGTGCTTTCTCACACATGCACAAAACTCCTGAAAACTTCTGGAAAATCCTGGATGAGCTGCATATGTGACCTCAGACAGTCCAATTTTACACTCAAACTGTACTATGACTTTTTCCGGCCAGTACATTTTTGATGTGAAATCGAGCTCAGCAGGGAGTATACAGGAAAATAAGAGAAATCACCACGGGTGGGAGGCGGCAATGACTTTAAAATCTTGCTCACAAGCATAGACTGTGCTCACGTCTGGTGAAATCTCCAGGCATGCAATGAAACTACTTCAGTATCTTTTGTTGATACTGTTAATATGTGGAACCCTTTTTACTCTTCTGAATTTTCTGTAAATTTTCAGGAGTGCATGTGAAACGCAAGTAATCACTAACTGGAAATTTAGTAAAGAATAAATAGAAATATGCACTTTAAACATGACAGAAATACACCTGTTTGTTTATACTTAAGTCTTAGACCACACTTATACTGAACACATGAAAAACATCTTTATTGCCTGCTTATCAGAGCGTCTCCGCTGACCTGCTGCATGAATTAAAAGCATTTGGAGACATTGCATCCCAGCAACAGGCTCAACTAGAGGTGAGTTAAACTCTTCCGAGTCCTTTTATTGACTTTTTTTTTCTAATATTGTTGTAGTTGAACTAAGGGCTGATTAACGTTTACTGAAATTCTTTCATGTTTTTAACACTCAGGAAATCCAAACGACAATGACAGACCTGGCTAAAGCACGGGAACATATGATGCAGGAGAGGGAAAACTTCTCCCTGGAGGCCGCTGAAATGGAACAAGCTCTCAAGGAAGCAGAAGCTCTCTTGTTGTAAATGTGTCAAATCATTTCCCACCTTCAAACATTGAAAATAAAAGATAATATTAATGTATTTTTTTTAATGTGAGTGTGACTGAAACTGAATAAAAGATTCAATATTTCAATATTTCAATATTTGAATGTTGCAAAATATTTTTGACACTTTATCCACAGCTGGGACATTTTATCTGTGCCCATATGCTGCCAGTGACTTTTTTATTTGTGAGCCAACATGCATGCAAATTAGTCGCTTTTTGGCGACTCTCGATTTTTTTACATTAACTTAGGTGACTTGTGCAATTCTTGGAGAGCCAAGCGTACTAGCACAGGCCTTCGTCAGATGGTAGATTAGACTGTTTTTGGTTTTTTTGTCATTTTTTTACTTCGGATATCTCTCTTTTTTTGTGTTTCCATCCCTGAGCCAAGAATAATTACATTTCATAGTTACATATAAACATTTCATAGTTACATATAAACATTTCATAGTTACATATAAGTCATTAACTGCAGGAACCCTTCACCCTCTCTGATTCTCACGAAAAGAAGTTGTGCAAACCAAAAGAACAAACTTATTATAAACTAAACAACTCTTGTGGAAAAGATAAATAATGAAGACAAGATGGTCACTCAAATGGAAAGTCACTGCACACGTATGTCACTAAAGTAGCCGATATGATAGTCACTGGATATGCTATTATTGACTGTTTTTTTTTCACACATATCTATGTTTTGAAAACGCCTGTAACATTATACTTCTTTACAGTTTTCAGTTATTTCTTTGTACTTTCTTGTAGTCTGCACTTCAGTCCCACACTGACGCCTACTTTATACTTTCCTGTCCTTGAATCTTCGCAGGGTTTATCTTTTGTCCGTAGGGGTTCTCCCAGGGGACCAGTGTGCCTAGAGTGCTGCTGCTGTCGGTGGAACTGCTCGAGTCAGCGTTTGTGTTTCCTACTTGGCTGGTTTTGTAGTAGTAGATGAACAGGAAAAAACCTGCAAGACAAAGAAAGACAAGAAGAGTCTTTGAAATGTTTCTTTTAGTTTATCCCTTCTTTAAACTCATTGCTTGTCATACATAAGGTACGGTCACATAATTAAAGGAGAAAGGGTTGGAGACAATAAAAAGGAATGTTAATATTTTAATAACCGCTGAAAGAAAAGCAGCAAAATCTTACATTTAAGAGGCAGGAACCAACAATTATTTTACAATCATTATTATTTGCTTGCACGATTAAGTTGTTTGTCATGGAGTTGGCAATTAATTGTCTTTAAATTTGAAAAATAACTCTTTTACTTTTTCAAGCATTTGTTGGCATTTGGCCTAATGGACCAAAGACTGTATAAAACATGGACGTAGGCTCAGGGAGTCACATATTGGTTTCTGGAGAGACAACATGAAGCTCATGGATGATGCTCGCCATGTTTGAAATGCTATCTTAGACTCATTGTTGGTCAATCAAAGAGGTGGAGCTGAGGTGGGTCTTAAGTCTCTTGGCAAACAGCTAAAACACGCCCACCTGTAAGTCAACTCACTCACGCCCCTAAACTTTGCAAGTGTATAAATAACTCTCGGGCTTTATAAAATAAAACAGACGATTTGCACACAAACATTACGTTGAGTACCAATTAAGAGAGGACGGTACAGAGGACATTCAGTACATTCAGATAAAAGGCGAAAAAGTCACAAGGGCATAAATATCGCCACTTGAAACGACAGTCCGAATAGAACTTAGTTAATGGCGCTTCCTCAGTTTTAGCAGCCAGCCTCTAGTGGACACTGGGGGAACTGCAGTTCTGTGCACTTCTGCATTGGCTTTATTTTTCAAGTTGAGTTTTCCACTTTTAATAGACCTACTTTTTTCACAATGTTTTGACCACATGGTTAAATCAGGAAAAATAATCTGCAGAGTCATCAACAATGGGAAAAAACCTCCAGTTACAACCCAAGCCTTGACCCCTTTTCACATGAAACATAGGTTATTCATCACGTGTTGTAAAATCAACAATCAAGGACATATTTGAAAACAACATGAGCTGACAGTGTAAAAAATATGATAAAGGTAAATTATTTCAAATGTCACAAAGGGATACATATTACAACCCAGATCATATTCAGGATACCTTGAAAAGAATTGAGGACTGTGAAGATGTAGTAAGAGGGGATCAGGAGGGCGCCATAGGCGAAGAAGGCAAAGCCCCACGTGATACCCAGCATGGAGCACAGTCCCAGGATGATTAAAATATTTCTGCCACTTGTTCCAGTTGGGCTGTTTCCTGAGTTGGGCCTCCTGAGACAACAAAGCCAGGACAGTATGATGACGAAGGTGGTGAAGGTGAAGACGAAGACCAACGCGTAATAGCCTATGTTGACGATGTAGTGGGCTTCACTGTCTGTTATCCAGCACCTTGGAACAGAAAGAGTAAAGAGTCAGTAAAGTGAAGACAGAATTAAGCTTCCTTGAGCTATTCTGCAACCTCATTTAACACTCTAAGATCTTTGTTATGTTCTCTTTTGAACCACTTCTGTGATAAAGCGTAAAAACAGGTAACCCTGTTCTTTTCTTGGAGACTGTGTATGGTGACTTACTGGTTTTAAAGCAGAATGAGTTTGAGTTGTCAGATTTGATTTGTAAAAATATTTAGAGGGCAAAACTAAGCCATGCAAGGCTTAAAGGATAATCTCTCTCCTGGTAAGTATTTCTAAATATCATGGGTTAGCCTTTCAGCTAACTCGGGAACATTTACATCCTTCTGAATGTTGATTAATGTGCACTGTCCCTTTTCAAGTAAAGAAAGAAAGAAAGAAAGGGATATACTTCAGCAACAATCATTTAAAGGAAAGGTTAAGATTATTGCTTTTAATATTTGATCAATTATTTTTGACCTTCAAAAATAACTGCAAACTCACATGGCAACGTTTTCTTCTGGGTCGTTGGTGTAGATGACTTGTTCACCATATTTCCCTTTGATAAGCAGGACAATCCCAGGGAAACTTGGTAGAACTGGAAAAAGAGAAAGAACACCAATGTGGCATGCACAAGTCCAGTCCACTGTCAGGTCAAACAGCAGAATATATAAAGACGTTTAGTCTGCTTACCCCAGCTGATGATAGAGACTTTGAGTATGTAGTGACTGATGACTATTTTGCCCCCCATGTACAGCTGCAAACAAAGATGGAAGGCCTTCACTGCAAACCATGTGAACGTAGCTAACATGAAGTAGTGCATGGCAGCTGCCATGATCACACAGCCCACTGAGCTGTTGAGTTTTGCTATGTAGTGGTTGGTCAGGAACGTGAGGTTGAGCAGGAACATGGCCGACACAAGGTGGATGAGAATCCTTGTGGATGTGCTGGCCTTTGTTCTCCTGTGATGAGACATGAACAGAACATGTCAGAAGCCTTGAGCAGACGTGCATCCATACATTTTATTGACTGCCTTTCCATTGATAAGGACTTTTTTTTCTCAAGATATTGACTTATTCTTCTTATATCCCCAGTTATAAACTGGGGATTTAAGGCAACAGGCTTAACTTACCTCACTAGTGTTGACAATGGCTGCTTGGCATACTATGGTCTGGTCATTCAAAACAACCAGCCTAATGCTTTGATTTTCAGATTGCCAGAAAATGATCTGGTTATCATGAGAAACAATTTTTGTCTTGAAATATTGAGATAAATAAATAAGTTAAAACAGGAAAAAAATTGGCATTGTTATCTCGTGATAACAAGACATATAGGAAAAGGAATAAATGGAAATAAGTTGTTACTACAGGAAATTGGAGTAAATCAAATGTATGAATGAATGTCCCCTCAGGGCCTCCATAGAAAACTCTGGCCATGAAATCTATTCAAAATATGAATTATATCGGTGATATATTTTCATTTGATGTAACATAGGCTTTTTTTTTCCATTATTTTGGTCGTCATACAAAGGGAGGAAATGGAAAAATATTTGGTAGGTATCCCAGTTGTTTCCAAAGCACCACCACAGTGACACGTCTTTTCAACAGTCTAATTTCCCTACTGCAAACATATTCAAATAATCTCAAAAGTACAGCATTGTGCTGTTCAGTAAAGCCGGACATATTTAAATAAACATTCACCTTAGCAGCCCATCTATCAGGGTTTCTTTTATGTACTTAATGTTTTCCACATTTGCACTCTTTTATGCTTGTTTTTTTCACCTTATAACGAGTAATGATAAATAATTAGGCACCTGTGTCAGGAAATTAGATCTTTTGCTTGACTTTGCAATGAGAAAACTCAGCAGGCAAAGCGGTGATATGCGGATATTTCTGCATGACCTCAGCGATGTTTAAATAATCATTTTTAAGAACCTGGATGAGCTCGAGGTATGATTCTGCACAACATACATATTTAACATGTCATTTGGCAAACTGTTTAGGATTAGACCAATACAACACATCACTTAAAAGATACATTGTTGATTAATCCTTCACTGGAATATCATAATATGATAAAAAAAATTAAAAAAAGTAACAAGACCTTTACTAACGCAGAAAAATAAAACAGGCAGGTCATACAAATGCAAAAGCAAACATTCAGAAACAAGAAATATTTAAAAGACACACGGTTCATTTTATACAAACTCTGAGATGTAAACATTTAAAACTTTTTGATTAAAGTATTTTTTTTTAAAGATTTAAAAAAGGTCACATCTCCTTCCTACTCATTTGGTGAAGGCTTTTGAACAAACCTTTATTTCAAAAAGATCATGTTCTTGTCATTTTTCATTCTATCTTGCTATAATTGTGTTTGGAAGATTGTTTAAAACAATTTAATACGTACAGAGGCAAGTTATATGATCATTACCTGAGAAGGAAGTGCATGAACAGGATTATGCTGATGAAGAATATTGACAAGCTACAGCCAATTTGTGTGATGATGGTGAGATTATTCAGGTCAGAGCTTGAAATGGTTTCATTAAGAGGAGTCTGCAAAGAGCAAAAGATGAACACTTTAAGTAGATGTCACAGGCACTGGCATTGATTATCACAGTGGTTTATAATGAATTTAAGTACAGACATTATTATTTTTTGGACAATATTCAAACAAGGCAGCTTTACAGGGCAATGAGATGTATGACTTGACCACTTGAGAACCACTGGTCTTTAGCATGAAAATATTTTACGCACCAATAATATAGCAAAGAATGTCAAGTGGGAACACTCGCATGTGATGTTTTCTCCATCTTGTGTAGTTAAACATCCATCTGCGGTCCAGTTTGGTCGGCTTCCTAACAGAAAACAGAACATGCAAACAATAAAGAGCTCTTGCAAGTCTGGTAACTTGTGTGTTTTTCAGGGGAACTCACAGTGTCTTGTAGATATTTTTACATTTCTGCTTGTAAATAAGCATGAGAGGTATTGGAAAACACGTATCCATTGACCCATCCATCCATCCAACCATCCATCCATCTATCCATCCATCTATCCATCTATCCATCATCTATCCATCTATCCATCCATCTATCCATCTATCCATCTATCCATCCATCCATCCATCCATCCATCTATCCATCTATCCATCTATCCATCCAACCATCCATCCATCCATCTATCCATCTATCCATCTATCCATCCATCCACCATCCATCCATCTATCCATCCAACCATCCATCCATCCATCTATCCATCCAACCATCCATCCATCCACCATCCATCCATCTATCCATCCATCCACCATCCATCCATCTATCCATCCAACCATCCATCCATCCATCTATCCATCCAACCATCCATCCATCCACCATCCATCCACCATCCATCCATCCATCCCTCTATCCATCCATCCCTCTATCATCCAACCATCCATCCATCCATCCATCCATCTATCATCTATCCATCCATCCATCCATCCCTCTATCCATCCAACCATCCATCCATCTATCCATCCATCCATCCATCCATCCATCCACCCATCCATCCATCCATCTATCCATCTATCCATCTATCCATCTATCCACCCATCCATCCATCCATCCATTCATCCATCTATCATCTATCCATTATCCAGTCTAATTCTAAACTAATCCACAGTAGGAGCATTTTTTTTAAACAACAGTATTTTTGTACATAACAGTATAAATAACAAAAGACACTGATTGGTCTAAAACCAAACCAAATTTTAACAATGCATTTCTTTGCAGCAATATGTTCAATTTAACATTAAAATAAGTGATGGAGAAATGAAATTACCATCACCGTTCCATGATCGACAACTTGCATTTCCTTCCTGTAATCAAAACAACATCACAGCATTTCAAAACTTCTCTTGGGTGGTAAACAAACGTTAAGACGAAATGATATATTTTTGATGCAGTTTTTCCACTTACATATGTCGCATTCCAAAAACGGATGGATATTTTGTCTGTGAGATTGCAGATATTTGCTCCCATGTCGACTGCTAAAACCTCATTACCTAAAATGGTGCTGTTCAACTCATCCTGAAAAAAAAACAATTAGAGGATTTTTTTATTAAAGGTGTTTCTTCTTTTTGATCAAAAGAGAAACTGAGAGGATTTTCATACCTTAGACAGATTGTTGAATCTGAAAATAGCAGCAAAAGGGACACTGACTTTCAAATTGATAGCTTGTTCAAACGCTTCTTTCGACACCGTAACAGATCTGGAAAACTGAGCCAGAGAATCTCTGTTTTCTATGATCTGCAGAAAAGAGCACATGTGAGTGTAAGGGTCATGAACACAGCAGTTTTACGTCTTAAGAGTTATCACACATTTCACTTTAACTTTGTTTTCTACAGTCCAGGCAGTAACTCAATATTGAGGACATCAATATTGAGTGTGATTTATTTAGATTTTTTAAAAAGTGTCAGGGAATGGCCTTGACAATAAGGGAGACAAAGAGCGTATGTTGCAGATTTCTTTGACATTTTTCCTGCAGGCATATCTCAAAACTGACAAAATAATGGATTACCACCAGTCTTATCGTTCAGGCTGCTTTTTGAGTTCTTCAGTGAATCTGATCAGTTAAAGAAATACATCTACAGTTTGTAAAATAATATGTGATTTTATAGGGAGATGAATATCGATATGTGGCTTGGGCCACTGATTCGGTCCAGACTTAAATTTCTCACAAACTATTTGATTGGCTGTCATTAACCTTCACATATCAATGATCCCCACAGGATAATCATACTGACTTTGTTTATCCTTAGTTTTTTTCTTCTAAACTTTTGTCTATTTGACCTAATAGGTGGAGTCCCATGAAATTTGTTGTTTTTTTATTAAACAACTTTTCTTTTATTGGGTCTAATTATCAATTCACCCTTTAATTTGTATGCCCAAATACAGTAAAAAGTGTAGAGATGAGTAAAAATCTAATGACATTCCCATCAACCTCAGCTTTATCCTTCTTTGTGTAAGTGCTAACTAGCAAACACGTTAGCAAACATTTTACTCTCGTGTAAAACTGATTTCAAATATGACACGACATATCAACAGAGATAATGTGTTCCTATGTCTACAGTCTTTGTGCTATGCTAGGCTATTTATTCTAGTTTTTTTTTTTCAGGTGGGATGAATGAGGATTTTTCAATCAACAAGTTCCTATGATGTTTTTATGGTTTTATGCTCTTCTAATATTTTGCATTGTTTGGTATATACATTTTTAAACATATTGTAAGATTCTTTTAATTCCTTTTTAAATCCTTTTTTGTATTTGTCTTGTGACAAAAGTCTCCTCAGTGTTCTTCACCTCTTCTTACTCTTTTTGTTAGAAGCATTCTAAATGACTCTTGTGCAGGCTTTTAACCACCCCCTTTAACCATCCCCTTGATCCCTAACTGTTGACCAGTTGGGATGTCAGCCTTGTTTTTGTTAGACACGCCTTTCACCTCCATGTTACCTGGGCCGTATCCGAATTGCCAAGTACATACTCAGTCTTTTAGTATGCAGTAGGCAGTAGGCAGTACGTACTATCCGTGCTGCATACTTTAATACCTACTATTCAGTATGCACACACAGTAGGCAGATATTTGTGCCTACTTCTTCTGATTCATTCAGTATGGAAGTGACGTCATTTACGTTTCTCGAACCGGCCGCATTCACCCGTTTTTATTTTATTTTAATTTTTTTAGCTTTATTCAAGAAGAGTAATGCGCATATACAGTCAGGTAAACAAAAAACAATATCATAATGTAAATCAAGTAAGAGACAGATTAAATAACTAAATAACATACAGTACATAAAGAAAAGTACAAATGAAAGACAGTAATATACAGAATATAAAATAAACCAATAAAGACACATTTAAATAGTTAAATTTAAATTATTTAAATAGAGGGGGAAAGGTTTTATAATAATGCAGACATTTGTTATATTGTCTGTTGTTAATTTAAATGAGTGATTTCAGTTGGGACTTTAAATTAAGATTAAAAATTGATTAAATTAATCCACGCTCGTTTGTTTTGATTTGGAGGCGGACGTGACGATTTACGTTTAATTTCGCACAGCATTGTGGGTGGTAAAACACAATTCATTTCCTGAAAGCACGCATCCGATCCATACTGCATAAAACCCGGAAGTTAGTATCCATACTGAAATGTTCAGTATACTGCGTGGACCCAAAAAATGCATACTGAATGACCACAAGAGTTCAGTATACTGAAACTCCATACTGAATAGTACGTACTGCATACTGAACTGTGACAATTCGGAAAGGGCCTGGGCCAACAAACCAGCCCACCTTGCATGTGCCCGATTGGCTCGTGGAGGCATTTGATTGGTTGTCCCTACCTTTTTGAATTTTTTTTTACCTTTCCTTCAATTGTGTACCTACCCTATTTAAATGATGTTTGTTAATCTGTTTCCTGATGACCCTGACGAGCCGAAACGAGCCCCCAGCCAGCATATCACCTGTTCACTCTTTTGCCATCAGGGAAGAGGTACAGAAGCATCCCCAGCAGAAAATCACGCTTCAGAGATAGCACCTACCACCAAGCCATACGTCACTTAAATATGGCTTAACGTTTGTTTTTGTTTTGTTTTTTCCCCTGTTACGTACAGTATGTGTTGCATTTCTGTACTGTCTGTTACCATTATTATGCTACTATGTACCTATGGACTGCCCCCCCTGCACTATGGTTACTGCTTGACTCAAATAGTCAAAAAAAGAGATAATGCTTCCCAACATCAAGGATTATGTGTCCTTCATGTTTGAAATAAACTTCTTATTTCATCACTTAAGTTTGCAGGTAGCTGAGTCAGTTAACCCAAAATAAACTGCAGCTATGTTGACATGTGCAAAAGTCAAATTGAAGCGGTGTACTCACGTATATGTCGTCGTTTAGAGACTCATATGCAAAGGAGACTTCGTCCACATATTCCTCATTAGTTTCTCTCACTATGATCCCTGTGACTCCTTCTGCCATATTCAGTGCTGCTGAAGCTGTATCGATAGAGGTGGCCAGTTTGCCCATTTTCTTCATGACGTTACTGTTGATGTAGATGAGATAGCCTTTTATGTTTGCAAATTTGTAATAGTCTACTTTAATTTAAAAAGATTTTACCGACAAGTTTTTCAAGTCAAAGCTTGAATATAAACATACAGTTATTATTTCAGAATAGCTTTGAACATTGTTCCTGTTTCAAATACATTCATATCAGAAATGCCAGCAATATTGTGTGAATACACCTTAAATATAATCCTTTGTCATGCTGAAATCGTGTGTTTTGAGCTAGCAGGAGGCATTTTGTGGTGATTTGGTCCCTCCATCATTTGTGGTTTTCAGAGTATGATGTGTTGAACTTTGTCTCTTAACAACGTACATGTATTAGATGACAAGTACCACTTGGGACAATGCACTAAGACCCTTCACTACTTACAAGAATCAAAACTGAAACTTTACTCTATCAGAGAGAATCAAACTGAAACTTTACTCCATCAGAGAGAATCAAACTGAAACTTTACTCCATCAGAGAGAGCTTACGAGTGCCCCAATGTTAAGCTGTTCAGATCTTAACGTCCATTTATTAGCAGTAAGCCTACAGCGTTTTCAAAGCATTGTGAAGTGTTTGTTTAAGTTCAGTTTAGTTTATTTCATTAGTTTATCAGAGACAATGAACACCAACATTTTTCTCTCTAATTAATGAATGTAGCATGTCTTACCTAGCTTGAACAGGGTCCAGATCTTCTCCTCGTGTTACGTTAATTGATACACCTTCCTTTCTGAGTTCATCACAACTGTATGCCTTCTTTGGATGTTTCACTGGATTATTACAATTGACACAGGTTGCATGTGTCCCTGTTATGTTGACGATGTACTTGTCCTGTCGACCTGTGAGGAGACATCTTGTTTTATCTGTAGCTTTAGTGTTTTTTAACAACTTTAGAAAAATGTAACTTCAATAAATGTAACTTTTCCACTTTTTTATTCTTTTTATAAATTCTCTGGACTTTCAGTATAAACATCATTATGTAATATATACCGTTATATGTAAGGAAAAAAGGGCAACTTGTATAATTATTAAGCTGTAGTGGTGAAGTTTGTGATTACCATTTTCATCTCCAACCCTCCATTTACTAGACAGAGGCAGCTATACTAGTAACTTCAGTATTATGCAGGTGAAATGATTGTTTTTGTCAATGGAGTCTGGTGTCTTTAAACGGACAATGTACGGCTGATTCAAGATCTTTGTGTAACCCTTCTGATATGTTGACAGACATTGCAAATAACAATATGAGCCAAGTGCAATAATGTTTCAAGGGGACATTCATATTTGGGTAACCTGAGTGTCTACCGACCCACAAAATGTGAAATAAACCCATCCAGTCCTTTGTTTGTGGTCTGCATAAGTCTTACAACACAGAGAAAAATGCTCTGTTTCAAAATTTGCTCTCCTTGTGACATCACAGTGGGATTGTTGTAAAAAAACAATACCCTCTCCTCCCCTAATATCTCCACCCATGGACTCCACCCCCATCCTAGAGCAAAACTTTTGCGCAGGTCTGCCATTTTTATTCTAACTAAAGACTACGGGGAAAACTCAGGGGGAGGTTTATTGCATTTAAAGAGACACACACACCAAAACGGAGCGTTCAGAGAGAGCTGGTTTATACAGGATCACAATCCTTCTCTGGTGCTTGATTTATGTTATATTTTGACCAAAGCACAGCACAGATGTTTCATTTCAACCACAGGAGACTGTTTTAAAAGTGGTATAATATGTCCTCTTTAAAGGCTTTATATGCGATTTTTTGATCCAGCAGATGCACCAGCATGAAACCAAAACAACTTGCGCCGCATCGGCAGTCACTGCGATGTAAACAAACTGAAGATAGGACTCGGAAAACTCGGAAAGCATCACAGACAGTGGGACTCTGGTGTCACACTCATTGTAGACAGTCATGACTCACAGAGTTCTTTTCAGAGGATATTCTTGATTTCTATTATATTTAAGTGTGAAAAATCGCATATAAAGCCTTTAATTGAATAATGTTCCTTTTTTTAATGGTTTCAATATTGTCTGTCAGTGTTGTAAAGGCAAGTTGCAACTTCTCAGTGTGATTGCCAATTTTCTTATTGAGGGTTGATAAAGTGATTACAATTCTATAATTCTACAATTCACTTAGCAGACGCTTTTATCCAAAGCGACGTACATCAGAGAGTAAGTACAACACAAGCAAGGATCGAGAAAATAGAGAACAATGTCTGTCAGAGCAAACAATCAGATTAGATGGGAGAAGACAGGCAAAGACATTTTAGCCTATGCTCAAAGATATCAGTTCATAAACAAAGCGGTTTTTGTGAAATTGCAGGTAAATTACTTTTGGAACAATTGGACAATTGGAACAACAGGTTATTTTACACTAACAAAAACAAAAACTCCTAACAAATATATTTATGTCTGCCAGTAGAGCCCCTTTAAGCTCACATGCTGGTCTTTGAGAAAAAAAAGTCACACACAGAGCTGGTTGACGTTTGTAGCGCTGCAGAAGCAACATTCATACGTTTATTATTTGGGTATGGAGGAAACTAACCTTCAGTGCAGACATTTTCATCAAATGATTCTCCCTTACAAACCTCGTCTGTTTGTACGCATTTAACCTCGCAACTTTCTGGTGATGAATCTATGTAAAGATTCAGAGAAAAAGAAGTGTAAGTCTTTTGTGACAGAGCTCAAGGCACAACACATGTAAAGAGCTAGAATATTTCAACAATTTCTGTTAACTCTAAATTTTAGAGTGTAATGAAAGTAGATTTTGAAAAAATTTAAGAATAATAGACTTAGGCCTATTTGTTGGAAATAGAAATATTTTGTAAGTGGAGTAAAGATTACATGTTTTCATTTCGTTTTGTCATTTTGTTTTATTATGAAAGAAATTGTCGTACCTGATGTCGGATTGGAGATGCACAGCAAATCTGGATTGCAAGAGAAATCCATATCAGCAAATACAAAACTTTTGTGTATGTATATTTTATATTTATGTTATTAAAGAAGAACTTTTTTGAAATATTTTAAAGGGCCTGTCCACCTTTAAAAAAACAAGCAAACATAATGTTTGAAACGTGCAAACAGATATATATATATATATATATATATATATATATATAAAGAATGTGAAACACAGTGTTGTAAAAGCACCTTGGATTTTGCCGGACAGTTCTCTACAGCAATTCTCCCCGAGCAGGACAGTGAGAGAAAGTTTCTGCTTGATGTGCCGTTTCGTAATGCGTAATAGGGAAGTATCGTTCTTTGTCTCCAGTTGAAGCCCCTCTTGATTGCACCATTCTGTTTGATCTTCTGTTTGAAGTGCTGTAGGGTTTTTCTGCAGAAATATTATGCAGTCATGTCCCTCTGAAAGATAAAGAATGCAGTGTTGTGGTAATGTCATACAATTTGATATATTTTGCATATTTCTGCAGCAGTTTTTGTTTAATGCAGAATTAAAGAAAAACTACTGTGACTTGTGAAAGTATACCAACCTTCGCACAATGTTCACATCATATTGCATAATCATTTTGAATTGAAATGCACTTATTGGATGCACAAGTGAACATTTGCAACTGATTTTTTTGGTTTCAGAGCAGAAACATTTCTCAATTTTCTTTGTGAATAATTAAAGAAAGATGATATTACCAGAGATCAATTAACAGATCAAAAGAACGACTATCAACACAACAACATTTAGGACATTTCAAGGGGTTAAATACTTACAAACGGGAATTGTAGTTTGAGAAAAATAAAGAATAAATTTGGATTATGTAAAGTTTAAGTTGTTCACAGTGGATTTGACCGGATAATTTTATTGGTTTATGAGGCTATAAAGAGCCTCAATCCCAGCATGCACTGAGACACAGGTACACCAAGGGTTGGTCAGATGATGCTTGAAACAAAATCCTGCATTTTTAAAAAGTATGATCTCAAAAATCAATCATCTGAAGCAATAATTGTTAGCTTATTCCTTTGATTACAACCTTGAAATTATAGAGCACGTATTTTGTAATGATACCAATAAGATTATTACTGTTTAAATATGTAAGGGGATACAGAGACATTAGAACTTTGTGATTAATTAATAGTACAACATTTGTTGTTTTTTTAGATAGTTTTGACTCACTTGTCTCACATTTGGGTCGTTCTCTGATGTCATCATAAACACACGTTTTTTTTCCCCTTTTCAAACAATCCCTCAGTTTCTTACATTCGTCTTTGCTCTGTCCTGAGGCTGAAATACAAGAAAAACAAATCAGATAAAAAAGGTCACACACAAAAAAAAGCCAGAAAACAACATATTTAATCTAAGTTATGAATCCTGGAGTTTGTCAAGACTCGACAGTTTCTCGTTTTCTCAAGAAAAATGTAATTTTAAGCTCTAGAGATTTTTTTTCTTCTTGAAGAGTGTTTACTTACAGGTCCACAGAAGAGCAGCAACAACCAGAGCAAACCATTTCATGTTGGGTCGATGGCATTAAGTCTCAGTCAGGATGACACAACAATTTTAGATAAAAACTAACCCTTTTAAAAACTATAAATTTGATCTCTTCTCTGGTAACAGTAACACCACAGCTCTGAGCAGCAGCAGCACTTCACAAGAGATAATGAACCTTCTTTTCTATGAAACTGTCAGACTTTGCATATAGCTGCTCGCATCATATTTTGATTTGCAAATTCTTAAGCCCTTGAAGTTCTCATAAGATGAACACAGACGTTATGCCTGCTATGCAAAATAAAAATAAAATAAACACGTAAACTCACGTTATGTTAGGATGAACGTGTGCCGGAATGAATGGTGGTTGGTTATGTGCAAAAAAAGCATAATTTGTTTGGGTTAAAAGATGTAAATCAATATGTAAACCAGTGATGAAGAACATCTCCGTTGACACTGACTTGCTTGCATAATGATTATTTTATTGACAAACAAGATACAGCATCTCCAGGCTCGCCATGGTTCGGCCTGGCGAGAGACACAAAGCCAAAAGTGATCTCATCCATATTTGGCAATTCTCTTACACAACGCCTTAAGGTAAACATTCAACCGGAGGGGGCTCCTATACCAGTCTCAGATACAAATTCTTTCCAGATGTGTATTACGCAATATTAAAGGAGCAGTATATTACCGCTGTCCTAGAAATTTCAGACACCTCACCAGCTTTTTGGAATGAAACACAATAAGTTTGAGGGAAATCTAACTCAAAAATATTGGCTTATATTACAGAGAAGGCTCATGTCTAATAATTGTTATTGATTTATTTATTATATTTCAGTATTTATAGAAAATTGTTGCAACTGAAAGTGTTTAACAAGATGAAATATTATCTTCATTTGGGGAGGCAGTTGCTCAGTCTGTAGGGACATGAGTCAGGAACCGGAGTGTCAGTGGGTAAGTCAATTGAGAAATTAAATAGACATAGACTGTAAATATTAATATCAACATGCTTTTCCTGCAGTGTCCAGCAGGGGGCAGCATCGTAGTTAAGTCACTTCAATTCTCACCCAGTTTAAACGAAGAAGAATAGGACGGAAGAAGAAGAAGAAGAAGAAGAAGAAGACACAGCAGTCACCCTGCAACAACAGAGAGGAACATGATTTCACGACATTGAAGTAAAGTGAGTAAACAGCTTAAAATCATAAGACACATTTGGGGAGTTTACTAACAGGCGAGGTGCGCTCATTTTTTAATTTAGCCTCCTGTGCCTTCATTACTGTCGATAACACAGAAACTCACTGTGTCTGCAATGTCAGAAGAAGCTTTTACTTCTCGGACAGCTTGTCCATGTTTTATATTCAAGTTACATTTGTATCCATGACCAGGCAGTTGAAGCAGAATTTAATTGATGTTGCTTCACCATACTGAAGTTTGACAACTCCAGACTCCCATCTGATTTAACCGGGGTGAAGATAGTTTCATATTTGACATTCGCCTGTTTTCACGTCGATTACCTTCAATCGCTCCGTGTCAAAGCCTCGATTTCTCACAGTTTGGGGATATGTTGGAGAGCAGATTAAGGCAGACGTTTCACAGTTTTGATAAACTTCAAATAACAAAAAATGACGATGCAGCTGGGAGCGCAAAGAACTGAATGTCTGTCCAACGCGCCGGTGACTATAGGCGGAGCTAGTGCTCGTTGTAAAAGTGCAATACAGCTCATTTCAATATTCAATAACTTCTTTGTTTTTCAACATAGACGTCTCAATCCACTGCAATTATAGAAGGTGACAGCCCTTAACATTTCACACAAATTAAAATAAATAAAACAAAAATTAACTCTGCAAATCACCATTATCAATGACATGACTTAAATAAGCACATTTCAAGGTTATAATCTCAATAAGATCAAAAGATTTCTCATTTTTGATTTTATTGACATCAAATCACCTCTCACAACTTTCACAGCTCATACTTTGTGAAGAAGGCCATTAACAAATGCTTTAATACCATTATCAAGGGATTAACGCTTTAAATAGGCAATTTTCAAGGTTGGAATTTCAATAGCTTTCTCATTTTTGATTTTATTGACATCAAATCACCTCTCATGTGTCCTGGACATCCTCTCACAACTTTCACAGCTCTTAGTTAGTATAGAAGGCCATTAACAAATGCTTTAATACCATTATCAAGGGCCTGTCGCTTTAAATGTGCAATTTTCAAGGTTAAATCTCCAGGCATGTAATAAAAGTGCTTCAGTATCTTTTGTTGATACTGTTAATATGTGGAACCCTTTTTCCTGTTATGAATTTTCTGTAAATTTTTAGGAGTGCATGTGAAAACAGCTTTTACACAAGTAACCACAAACTGGAAATTTATTAAAGAATAAATAGAAATATGCACTTTAAACATGACAGAAATACACCTGTTTGTTTATACTTAAGTCTTAGACCACACTTATACTGAACACATGAAAAACATCTTTATTGCCTGCTTATCAGAGCGTCTCCGCTGACCTGCTGCATGAATTAAAAGCATTTGGAGACATTGCATCCCAGCAACAGGCTCAACTAGAGGTGAGTTAAACTCTTCCGAGTCCTTTTATTGACTTTTTTTTTCTAATATTGTTGTAGTTGAACTAAGGGCTGATTAACGTTTACTGAAATTCTTCCATGTTTTTAACACTCAGGAAATCCAAACGACTATGACAGACCTGGCTAAAGCACGGGAACATATGATGCAGGAGAGGGAAAACTTCTCCCTGGAGAGCAGAAGCTCTCTTGTTGTAAATGTGTCAAATCATTTCCCACCTTCAAACATTGAAAATAAAAGATAATATTAATGTATTTTTTTTAATGTGAGTGTGACTGAAACTGAATAAAAGATTCCTATTTCTCATCTCTTTCAATATTTGAATGTTGCAAAATATTTTTGACACTTTATCCACAGCTGGGACATTTTATCTGTGCCCATATGCTGCCAGTGACTTTTTTATTTGTGAGCCAACATGCATGCAAATTAGTCGCTTTTTGGCGACTCTCGATTTTTTTACATTAACTTAGGTGACTTGTGCAATTCTTGGAGAGCCAAGCGTACTAGCACAGGCCTTCGTCAGATGGTAGATTAGACTGTTTTTGGTTTTTTTGTCATTTTTTTACTTCGGATATCTCTCTTTTTTTGTGTTTCCATCCCTGAGCCAAGAATAATTACATTTCATAGTTACATATAAACATTTCATAGTTACATATAAACATTTCATAGTTACATATAAGTCATTAACTGCAGGAACCCTTCACCCTCTCTGATTCTCACGAAAAGAAGTTGTGCAAACCAAAATAACAAACTTATTATAAACTAAACAACTCTTGTGGAAAAGATAAATAATGAAGACAAGATGGTCACTCAAATGGAAAGTCACTGCACACGTATGTCACTAAAGTAGCCGATATGATAGTCACTGGATATGCTATTATTGACTGTTTTTTTTTCACACATATCTATGTTTTGAAAACGCCTGTAACATTATACTTCTTTACAGTTTTCAGTTATTTCTTTGTACTTTCTTGTAGTCTGCACTTCAGTCCCACACTGACGCCTACTTTATACTTTCCTGTCCTTGAATCTTCGCAGGGTTTATCTTTTGTCCGTAGGGGTTCTCCCAGGGGACCAGTGTGCCTAGAGTGCTGCTGCTGTCGGTGGAACTGCTCGAGTCAGCGTTTGTGTTTCCTACTTGGCTGGTTTTGTAGTAGTAGATGAACAGGAAAAAACCTGCAAGACAAAGAAAGACAAGAAGAGTCTTTGAAATGTTTCTTTTAGTTTATCCCTTCTTTAAACTCATTGCTTGTCATACATAAGGTACGGTCACATAATTAAAGGAGAAAGGGTTGGAGACAATAAAAAGGAATGTTAATATTTTAATAACCGCTGAAAGAAAAGCAGCAAAATCTTACATTTAAGAGGCAGGAACCAACAATTATTTTACAATCATTATTATTTGCTTGCACGATTAAGTTGTTTGTCATGGAGTTGGCAATTAATTGTCTTTAAATTTGAAAAATAACTCTTTTACTTTTTCAAGCATTTGTTGGCATTTGGCCTAATGGACCAAAGACTGTATAAAACATGGACGTAGGCTCAGGGAGTCACATATTGGTTTCTGGAGAGACAACATGAAGCTCATGGATGATGCTCGCCATGTTTGAAATGCTATCTTAGACTCATTGTTGGTCAATCAAAGAGGTGGAGCTGAGGTGGGTCTTAAGTCTCTTGGCAAACAGCTAAAACACGCCCACCTGTAAGTCAACTCACTCACGCCCCTAAACTTTGCAAGTGTATAAATAACTCTCGGGCTTTATAAAATAAAACAGACGATTTGCACACAAACATTACGTTGAGTACCAATTAAGAGAAGACGGTACAGAGGACATTCAGTACATTCAGATAAAAGGCGAAAAAGTCACAAGGGCATAAATATCGCCACTTGAAACGACAGTCCGAATAGAACTTAGTTAATGGCGCTTCCTCAGTTTTAGCAGCCAGCCTCTAGTGGACACTGGGGGAACTGCAGTTCTGTGCACTTCTGCATTGGCTTTATTTTTCAAGTTGAGTTTTCCACTTTTAATAGACCTACTTTTTTTACAATGTTTTGACCACATGGTTAAATCAGGAAAAATAATCTGCAGAGTCATCAACAATGGGAAAAAACCTCCAGTTACAACCCAAGCCTTGACCCCTTTTCACATGAAACATAGGTTATTCATCACGTGTTGTAAAATCAACAATCAAGGACATATTTGAAAACAACATGAGCTGACAGTGTAAAAAATATGATAAAGGTAAATTATTTCAAATGTCACAAAGGGATACATATTACAACCCAGATCATATTCAGGATACCTTGAAAAGAATTGAGGACTGTGAAGATGTAGTAAGAGGGGATCAGGAGGGCGCCATAGGCGAAGAAGGCAAAGCCCCACGTGATACCCAGCATGGAGCACAGTCCCAGGATGATTAAAATATTTCTGCCACTTGTTCCAGTTGGGCTGTTTCCTGATTTGGGCCTCCTGAGACAACAAAGCCAGGACAGTATGATGACGAAGGTGGTGAAGGTGAAGACGAAGACCAACGCGTAATAGCCTATGTTGACGATGTAGTGGGCTTCACTGTCTGTTATCCAGCACCTTGGAACAGAAAGAGTAAAGAGTCAGTAAAGTGAAGACAGAATTAAGCTTCCTTGAGCTATTCTGCAACCTCATTTAACACTCTAAGATCTTTGTTATGTTCTCTTTTGAACCACTTCTGTGATAAAGCGTAAAAACAGGTAACCCTGTTCTTTTCTTGGAGACTGTGTATGGTGACTTACTGGTTTTAAAGCAGAATGAGTTTGAGTTGTCAGATTTGATTTGTAAAAATATTTAGAGGGCAAAACTAAGCCATGCAAGGCTTAAAGGATAATCTCTCTCCTGGTAAGTATTTCTAAATATCATGGGAGTATTTCTAAATATCATGGGTTAGCCTTTCAGCTAACTCGGGAACATTTACATCCTTCTGAATGTTGATTAATGTGCACTGTCCCTTTTCAAGTAAAGAAAGAAAGAAAGAAAGGGATATACTTCAGCAACAATCATTTAAAGGAAAGGTTAAGATTATTGCTTTTAATATTTGATCAATTATTTTTGACCTTCAAAAATAACTGCAAACTCACATGGCAACGTTTTCTTCTGGGTCGTTGGTGTAGATGACTTGTTCACCATATTTCCCTTTGATAAGCAGGACAATCCCAGGGAAACTTGGTAGAACTGGAAAAAGAGAAAGAACACCAATGTGGCATGCACAAGTCCAGTCCACTGTCAGGTCAAACAGCAGAATATATAAAGACGTTTAGTGTGCTTACCCCAGCTGATGATAGAGACTTTGAGTATGTAGTGACTGATGACTATTTTGCCCCCCATGTACAGCTGCAAACAAAGATGGAAGGCCTTCACTGCAAACCATGTGAACGTAGCTAACATGAAGTAGTGCATGGCAGCTGCCATGATCACACAGCCCACTGAGCTGTTGAGTTTTGCTATGTAGTGGTTGGTCAGGAACGTGAGGTTGAGCAGGAACATGGCCGACACAAGGTGGATGAGAATCCTTGTGGATGTGCTGGCCTTTGTTCTCCTGTGATGAGACATGAACAGAACATGTCAGAAGCCTTGAGCAGACGTGCATCCATACATTTTATTGACTGCCTTTCCATTGATAAGGACTTTTTTTTTCTCAAGATATTGACTTATTCTTCTTATATCCCCAGTTATAAACTGGGGATTTAAGGCAACAGGCTTAACTTACCTCACTAGTGTTGACAATGGCTGCTTGGCATACTATGGTCTGGTCATTCAAAACAACCAGCCTAATGCTTTGATTTTCAGATTGCCAGAAAATGATCTGGTTATCATGAGAAACAATTTTTGTATTGAAATATTGAGATAAATAAATAAGTTAAAACAGGAAAAAAATTGGCATTGTTATCTCGTGATAACAAGACATATAGGAAAAGGAATAAATGGAAATAAGTTGTTACTACAGGAAATTGGAGTAAATCAAATGTATGAATGAATGTCCCCTCAGGGCCTCCATAGAAAACTCTGGCCATGAAATCTATTCAAAATATGAATTATATCGGTGATATATTTTCATTTGATGTAACATAGGCTTTTTTTTTCCATTATTTTGGTCGTCATACAAAGGGAGGAAATGGAAAAATATTTGGTAGGTATCCCAGTTGTTTCCAAAGCACCACCACAGTGACACGTCTTTTCAACAGTCTAATTTCCCTACTGCAAACATATTCAAATAATCTCAAAAGTACAGCATTGTGCTGTTCAGTAAAGCCGGACATATTTAAATAAACATTCACCTTAGCAGCCCATCTATCAGGGTTTCTTTTATGTACTTAATGTTTTCCACATTTGCACTCTTTTATGCTTGTTTTTTTCACCTTATAACGAGTAATGATAAATAATTAGGCACCTGTGTCAGGAAATTAGATCTTTTGCTTGACTTTGCAATGAGAAAACTCAGCAGGCAAAGCGGTGATATGCGGATATTTCTGCATGACCTCAGCGATGTTTAAATAATCATTTTTAAGAACCTGGATGAGCTCGAGGTATGATTCTGCACAACATACATATTTAACATGTCATTTGGCAAACTGTTTAGGATTAGACCAATACAACACATCACTTAAAAGATACATTGTTGATTAATCCTTCACTGGAATATCATAATATGATAAAAAAAAAAAAAAGTAAGTAACAAGTAACAAGACCTTTACAAACGCAGAAAAATAAAACAGGCAGGTCATACAAATGCAAAAGCAAACATTCAGAAACAAGAAATATTTAAAAAGATTTAAAAAAGGTCACATCTCCTTCCTACTCATTTGGTGAAGTCTTTTGAACAAACCTTTATTTCAAAAAGATCATGTTCTTGTCATTTTTCATTCTATCTTGCTATAATTGTGTTTGGAAGATTGTTTAAAACAACTTAATATGTACAGAGGCAAGTTATATGATCATTACCTGAGAAGGAAGTGCATGAACAGGATTATGCTGATGAAGAATATTGACAAGCTACAGCCAATTTGTGTGATGATGGTGAGATTATTCAGGTCAGAGCTAGAAATGGTTTCATGAAGAGGAGTCTGCAAAGAGCAAAAGATGAACACTTTAAGTAGATGTCACAGGCACTGGCATTGATTATCACAGTGGTTTATAATGAATTTAAGTACAGACATTATTATTTTTTGGACAATATTCAAACAAGGCAGCTTTACAGGGCAATGAGATGTATGACTTGACCACTTGAGAACCACTGGTCTTTAGCATGAAAATATTTTACGCACCAATAATATA